AATACCACTTTATGATAGATGAACGTTTAAAAACATACACAACTAGACTGAAATGTTACTGTTGCAGATTTTACTTTATTCCTATCCAGCTTCCCGTAGAGTTTCGTAAGATGCTTAACAACACGAGATTAATGATTTACGAATTGACTTGATTTGGAAAATGATTCATCTTCTGCCACGAAAGCACATTCATGACGCACAAATAAATAAACCAGGTGGGTTTATTCTTTGAATGGAGCATCACAGACAGGAGTTTATGAGCTGATTTAGATACTAAACCAGGTCATGGCAGGCACTCGGGGTCCAGAGCACCATATTAAAACGCATATAACTTTCCTCGCTAACCTAAGTGCTGGGACGCTCCCGTAAAGCTTTCATGGCGTCAGGAAAACCGCTCACTTACCAGCAAGAAGGCAGCGTCTCCTTGAAGTAAGCCTGGAAAGGACACCCAGGGCTCGTATACCTGCCATCTTTGCCTCAGTCGAAAAGGAGTATCGGAGAGCAGAATGAAGTGTCGATGTTTCTATAAGGAGGGAACGCTGTTCACTGAATGTGATAGCGCCACCTAGGTGTGGGGGTGTGAACTGCAGCCCTTCGAACTCTCCCATTACCCTTCATAGGTAAGCTGTTTGCAGACGGTTTAAAAGATTTGCACTCGAACCGGTACATTTTATTTCACTTGGGGCACAGAGATTTGCAGAAGTGCGTGCCCCCGCCGGCCGCGAGGGAATAGCCGGTGTCCCCGGGGGGAAAACTAACCGAGAAGAACAAACAACCACAACAACGGCATACGGTACACAATTATAGTGCAATGCAACAAATCCCATTACATTTTATAAGGCATTGTTTAGCAGCGAATTATTCAAGAAAGCCGAAGAGATGTATGGTTAGCTAAGTTTTGTGGCTGCCCACGTTTCGGCCATACAGATAGAACTAACATTAGTATGAAACTGAGACGCAAAATGAAACTGGTCCGTGTAATCTTAGGTTTCGTCAAGAAGGGGTAAATTTATCAGAATATTATCGGAACATCTTATCTTTTACAAAATACAAACTTAAAACGGCTAATTGCAGAATAAATCATTGATAGGGTACAAATATATAAAAACTGTGGGAGTGGGCTTTACACATGTATTTTTATAGCTTAAACTCCCACCCATCCATTTTTACATCAGCTACTTTCGGTAATATAGTCGAAATGTCTAGCGCTCCAAAGGATTAAAAAGATGTTTTCCTTTGAAACCGATTACTGTTTGGTTGACTGTTCTGCCACAAGATGGCAGAAAAAGCCACCCAACACATAAAACACATACACAAAATGCAAATTAAACCAGTGGTTCTCAACTTTTTTGCACCGCGACCCAGTTTTTACGATGCCGGTGTTCTGTCGAGTTAGGCTACCGTAGTGCTAATCCATAGCCCTAACCATAACCCCTAAAACCTAACCCTAATCCCAAAACGGTGGAACTGCACATGCGCAGAAAGGCCTGATAGCACGTCTCAATAGGTAGCTCAACTCGTCAGAACACCCGGCTCAGTGGCGACCCTGTATTAAGTATAGGTTGCAATTAACGCTATTATCAAGCGTGCAGTGCTTGGCACCTAGTAAGAAAAGTACAAGTTGCGACCGTGAGGAGATTCTGTAAAGTCAATTAAAATCTTACTTAAAATGTTACAAGTTCCGTTAAACTTTGGATGAGAATTTTGTCAAATACAGAAGTATGACGAACTAAATCCAGAGATGCGTTGCTCATCATTTTCCTGAATTCCTCAATCAGTCTGTTGTAACAATTTTCAAGTAACTCAACCATCAAAAGTGTGCTTTGCTCTCTCTCTGCAACTTACATATGTTCAACATTACATATATTATTGATGTGAAAAAACTACAGATTAATCCGTCACAAATTATTAGTGATTAAGGACATAATAGCAAGTCATACGTGTTGAGAGACTAAGACAACATGGTAGCTAAAATGTCAGTCTTCAAAGAAAGGCCCAAGGTCACTGATATCTCACATCTCTGACCTGTTTTCACTATGGTGAACACGTGCGTGCTGGTCCACGGTAGTGAACACACCACCCACCCCTGTACCTGTAAGGATGGAAATTTTTCAATTTTACACGTGTCTTTGTGGTATCAATAAATGTAAACATCCAGCCATACTTAATATCCCCTAACCTGGAGCCTTGCCAAACTGAAAGTGATATCGTGACTCATTGGTGGAATGCATCTAGGCCTGCAACTTACACCTCTCCTTGACCTTTCGCCATGTCAACAAAAACAACTTCTCACCCCCATACGAGCATAACCTACCAATCTCCGCCTTTCCCAGGATGGTCTCATGAACGTTATCAGTGGAGATCTCATAGACTCCGCTCTGGGTTTCTCGTTTCGTCACTGCCACCACTAGTTTCTCCTGCTTGAGCCTCAGGAGCTTGTCTGTAAGAACCAGACACATCTTACTTAAAAAAGTGAGAACATCTAACCTCCTACATGGTCACAGTCATTTTGGGTGACGGTAATGACACAAATGATCGGTGCTGTTTTAAATTCAGAACATAAAGGTGTAGCTATGCAGTATCAGCTGACAGAAGGTTCTAGAAGGCGACCATGGACCACAGAATTGGGGCGAGGGCACACCTCGGCCTGTGCCTGTAATTCCTACCCCCGTCGTTGCATGGGGATGACTCATCAATTAAAAAAAAAAACCATAAGCCTGCAAAGGGTCCCACTCTGTTACTATTTTAGTGCTTCCTGTAACTGCAGGTGTAGCAAGATACCCTAAATCTGTGGTAGTGATCCTTACACTAAGTTATACTATGCTATTAAAATGACAAATAATGAATCAGGTCAGGTTTGCAAGAACATATAACAATATTTTTAAAATCACGCAAATTTTTGTGTGTTTTTTTAGGGGAAAACCTAGACTATAGGCAAATGCCAAAATGTCAACATAGTTATTAATAAACTAGGCAGCAGAAAACGTGAACCACAACTTCCCTAACCAGAAATGGGCATCTCATGTACTGTACTACTTGCATACCGTCTTATAGCAATCTTATTTAATGTTTTAATTTTTTTGCACTTATATTGGTTTTTTGTTTCACAGTAGTTGTGCACAAAAGGAAATGCTTCATGACTGCAAAATTCTACATGCTATAAATATTGACCATATATATGTTGTACTTAGTGATAATATTTTGACAGTAACATGTATACCAAAAAGATAATACATGGAGGTGATCTGGGTAGGTACTAATAGATCAAAATACCACCACATTATCTATAAAATATATATTATAAAAATTATATAATTTATGCAGTCATTAAGCCATTTCACACATCAGCTGATCTAGACCTTTATTTAACCTTAGTAGATCAAATTAAAACAAAAAGGGGATTTACAGGACTTTCTGAGATATAACTGCCATTTTGGTGGTGAAAGTTTCAAGTGAAATACCACAGAACACTGGACCTACTGCACTTTCTCACTGCCACTGGTTTAAATCCACAACTGCCAACGACACAATGGACCCACATAAAAGAAAATGGACACAGGAGGTCACAGTAAACCAGACCGGTTCCATCACCTGCCACATCCTCCTGTGACAATGACTAACATTAACATATAGCAAACAAACAAACAAACGGACGAAACATGAATGATTTCCAGTGTTTTACTTACAAATTGCAATTACACGTTCATTTGAATACACACACACTGTAAATACACTCCTGTTCAACAGCAGGTCTCGGGGCCTAGCGAGCTACCAACCCAATGGCAGAAAAGGTAAAAATCAAAAATTTTATTTATTTTAACAAAGCAAATGCAGAATTAAAAATATAACTCCTAGCATTGCCTTTCTAAGACTGAATTGGCTAAAAGTTACAAGAATTTAATTGTTCTGTACACACTGCATCTTGCTATAATGCAAGTTATGAATTATCCACTATCTCAAAAATGAATGAGTATATAATAGTAAAAAATGCATCAAATTTGCATTATTTGTATATCACAAATAAGTGGTCAAAATGTTAATGATGCTCCACTGGTTCTCGAGGGGATTGAAATCTATCTTCTTGGCAGAATGTGATGGAACTTTGTCATGCATGAATATCTTTTGCTTTAATGCCAGAGATTTACTTTTGAGCCCTGAAGTCAACTTTACACCTTGGAGAAATCACCAAGAAGCAGGCAGCTCCCCACCAGCCCAAAACATCACACCATCTCCTCCATGCTGGCTTCTCCAGTACCAGGACTTTCGTTTCTGACCTGACCTTTGCTCCATTCTTCAGGTTCATTGGGTTCATTTAGAGCTGCTTGGGGCAGTGGTGGCTTCATGGTTAAGGAAGCGCACTTGTAATTGAAAGATTTCAGGTTCGAATCCCCGACCAGCAAGGCATCACTGAGGTACCCTGAGCAAGGTACCGCCCCCAAGCACTGCTCCCCGGGCGCTGAATTAGCTGCCCCCTGCTATGTCACGAAAGTCACATATGGGTTAAATGCAGAGGACACATTTCGTTGTTGCGCACTGTGTGCTGTGGTGTGTTGACAATGACCACTGATCACCTAATTCTAAATTCTCATTGGTGGATTACAGGTCCAACTACAAATATTTCTTGGCCCATTTCATGTGTTTTACTTTCTTGCTGCTCTTCAACGGAGGTCGAAAATCTGATCTGCATATCATCCTAGGTGGCAGAGTACTGATTCATTGTTGGCACCATCCTTGTCAAATACCCCTTTGCTGTTGGCTAAAGGCTGTGTCGCCAGCACTCTCTCAATGAGGGAGGATTTACATTGTGTAACAACTTTCATTTTCCCCTTGTATGACCTTTTCCTGGCTGCATTTGAATTTGCCACATGGCCTCTGCAAGCAATTTCATACTCTCTTCACTTCTGCAGACAAATCTACCCTGCATCCCATAATAACAGCTTTGTTATTATTTACACACATGGTTTAGTACTGTGGAACAACATAATTGTGGGAGAAAATGCAACGATGGCAGCAGCTTTTATATTCAGGTGGAGTAACAATGAAATTCTCATGGATGATGCAGATGAGTAACTGTCCTTGCAAAGTAAGACATCATGAAAGAATTCCAACAGGCCATTTGCACAATAGCATAACACAGTGTGTACAACACAATAAAAAGCAATCAAACATAAATATATACATATAATTGACCTTCTTGGATGATGAAGTAGTCATCCAGGAACAACAGGACATGAATGAATACTGTCATGCTTAGATGAATACTAAATGCATTATATAGCAGAATTAATTTGTAAATAGATTTTTACTGACTAAAACACAGCAGGACATGCCAACACTCTTAAATTCTACAAAAAAGAACCTTTGAAAATCTGTCTTTGATCATCATCTATATCTCTGCTGTACGCTGCTGGTTGACTCAGTATCAACTTATCAATGATCTGTAAGAGGTTGATATGATTACTGGCATGTCAGTTCCCTGAGAAGTCTATGACCTTTCCGCAGCGCCTCCAGAAGGACCTTCAGGTGACCTGCGTCATTTCCTTCGCCCTCCTTCTCAGGTGTGCTTTGCGGATTTTCATAATCCACTTGACGCTGAGCTTGGCGAAATTCGCCACCTTGAAGAGAGCCATGAAGACGCCACAAAGAATTGCAACGCTGTTCCAAGCGTTCGCCGTCACGATCTGTCAAGGAGTTTAGGAGATTTAGCAGGGATGAAATAAAAACAAAATCACATGCTGTTTTCCCATATCAATAAAACAACAAACTGAATGATGACTTACGTCCCTAACTTCCTGGATGAACACGTCACGCCACTCAAAAACAACAAAAAACAGCTGATTGGTCCTCTGAGACTCGGGCCTCTTGTCATTGTACCTTACCACACTGGACTGTAGAGTACAAACAGATTTTTGAGTAAATACCTTTTTAAACAGCAATTACAACAAATCATGATCTATTTCAGTCATCTGGGTTTGTTGAACTACCTATTCTATTAAACAGTTCTAAATTTCGTCTCTTCTAACTTCTGTGAAAACAGTGTTAAATTCTGCTTGGTGTTTCTAAATGGTTACATTTGAAAAGGGAGTGACAAAGTAAGCATGAGAGGGACAGGATGCAACTACAGGATATTTCTTTGTATGCATTTTCCCTTGTAGAGAGGAAGCTGCAGAAAGTCTTAGAGGTTAAAGGTGCACAGCATGTGTCATGTTGTTTAAAGCGATAAATAAAACCAAAATAGCATAAAAACCTATTACGCTTGCAGAAAACACTCAACAGCTTGCATAAAATAGGAAAGGCCTCAACATCAAAATCAAAACTGGGTTCTCCAAGGCGGAAGGCCTTTACCTCTTGCCGGAATTCCACGGACTCCTTCCCTCTCCCGGACGTCCTTATCAAAGACATCTTCACCCAAGTTCGAAAGCCTCCTGAGAAGGTCCACATGGAGTAACTCCTCTCACATTCTTTCATAAACTCTGCTTTATCTGAGCTGGAGACAGTGGACAACATTATCAATTCATACAATAAACAGCAAAAAAAAAAAGAATTTATGACGCCCTTATCTTATTTTATACATTATAGTATATTGTTTGGGTGTTTTATACCTTGCAGTCAAGTCGGCGAATTTGTAGAACAGCATATAAGTGATAGAGCTGAAGTCTTCTTCTGTTTCATTCTGGCTAAACTGCAGGAAAATCAGCTCGCGGTTCCTGATGTCGGTTGGCCCCTGAACCACAGTCACTTCCTTTGGTAAGGAAGAAAGATTGTTATATCGAAAAATCTGATAGCTAATCAATAATGTAAATAAAGAACTCTGTGAATTAGTTTGTGTGTGTCCATTTATCCTTCTTCCAATCATTTATCAGGGCTGCAGGAGGCCTGGGGACAATCCCAAGTCACACAGGGTCCAAGGCTGTGCTACACCCTGGATGGAACGTCTGTGTGTGTATACCAGTGTTTCCTAATCCGGTCCTTGGGGATCCACAGTCGATCCACATCTTTGTTTCCTCCCAGCTCTCTCAGAGTTGGGAGGGAACAAAAACATGGACTGTCTGTGGGTCCCTGAGGACTGGACTGGGAAACACTGGTGTATACTAATATGGAATATAACTGGACAAAATATATACACTGTTAATTCTGTTTAAAAGGAAAAAAAAAATAATTCAATAGTTTAGACCTAAAGTGAATTCTGTAAAAAAAACAAGACATTTAGGGATCCATCTTGCATTGGTTGCATCAGTCTTTTAAGAGAGACACTGACGTATAAATATGTCAGCCAGCTTTTTTATTTTAAGGCTCGATGTAGATTACCCTGGTCTGGTTGGAGTAAGGGTCCATGTAGGAGACCGATTCTATCACGCAGCCCCCTTCCCCAGGGTTCCCTGGTGATACCAGAGCTGGGATGTGGTCATGGAGATGGTGCTGGCAACTCAGCAATGTAGCCTTCCCCAGATACAGGGCGATACCTTCTCAAAAACAAAAAAAACAACATCCGGTCACTGGTTCGGCGTGTAGCAGGGCAGCTGTGCTGTGTTGGAGGAGAAGCAGCTGGCCAACGACTCATGGGAGTTTTACTTTACTTTAAAGTTCTGAGGGCTAAACGAAAAATGACTGGTTCAGAGAGATAACCAATCAGATTGTAGAGGAGGTGGGTCCAAGCAACTAGAGTAGGTGGACCGAGACATCTGATTGGTTAGTCCTGCCTCCTCTAGTTGCTTGGACCCACCTCCTTTACAATCTGATTAGCTATCTCTCTGAACTAGTTATTTTTCTTTCAGCCCTCAGAAAATTAGCACCCTGTTCACAAGTCAGGAGTTCATCTGCTTCGCTGGAGATGATGACCAGCCGCACGCTCGCACGCCACAAACACCCACCTACAGCATCGTACTCGTCCACTTCTTTGAAAGTTACTGACATCACCGGGTGGCTAAGCTTCTCTCTGAAGTCAGAGATGGTCTGGTATGCGAGGAAGAGTGCCACAGCCGTCAGCAGGACGTATATCAGAATAAGAAGAACAGTAAAGACATTCTTCAGACAGGCCTTGTTGAACCCTATCGAGATGCTCCCTGTGTCGTCCTCCACACCTGAGGATCCACAATACACATTTGTCAAGCATCATTTCTATCACTAGCGTCCACTGAGCTTTCTTACTCTCTCAACTCAGTCCATTTTCACTCTTGTTTCATTGTTGTATCTGCAGCTGTTTGTTGTGTGACACCCACCTGGTAATTCGCTGTCGTTGGCATCATCAGTAATCTGGTCGTCCTTGCCATTCTCTTGGCAAACACTTGGACACTGCTGAGCATCATCGCTGAACTGTAATAGAGACACGTTTAAGAATTATAAAAAAATATACATGCAGCTTTTATTTGCTTTACTGTACGTGCTCTGGCAACATCTGAGGGGATGTTCTCCAGAACAGTTTGAAAAATGAAGATTACTGTAAAAGTTGAACTTAGCTTTCACTAGTTTCAAAAAGCCTGTTGTAACACAACTACACAATAACATTAGAAAAAGGGACATAAATTAAGTTTTTGTGTTGGACGTGGTAGTTATAATAAAAACACTACTACTTCTAATAATAATAATAACAATAATTATCATTATTGTTAATAATAATAATAATAATAATAATGATGATGATGATGATGATGATGATGATGATGATGATGATTTTATATGATCTCATGCCCGAATCCACTTAATATCCTGTCATAAACAGACCGGAAACATTTTGTAGATGTAGTACAAGTATACGCGTCTTGACGCTCTCTGACTGGAACGTGAATTCCATATCAATAAAATATTATATATTTTCCCTTCCAATTGTAAATCCCTCTATATTTTAAAAACACAGAAGTCTTTACAACATGCGGAATACGTATGAAGTAAGAATTGAAAAGCGCTCTAGGGACGAATCACATGACCACGTATCGGGTGTTAAGACTCCTCCACTTACGAACATTTGTTCATTTTTTGTTCACGTTATTCTTGATACTTTTGATCACTTAAACAACGAAACACAGCTCACCACGTTTAGAACACTGGACAAAAATGCTTTTTAAAACGCTCCGTGGGTTTTCAAAATGTAGGATATAACGTTTTAACAGCTAACAGTCAGGCCACAAAACTTACTTTTTGGTAAGTCCGACAGTTTTCCCTTGTCATCCCGACAATCGGCTGCTTACTATGGACTTTTTAAAGGCACCAGCTTTTTCCTCCTGCTCATTTGATCGCCATTAAAAATGCGTCCCAATGCGTAGAAATAGCTCCATGCGGCAGTTATCAGGGAAGCATACAGTCCGGCAGGGACATTTTTTTCTTTTTTTTTTCTTTCTTCTTTCAGTCCGGCAGGGACATTGCACAGCCCGACATGCCAGCCTTGACATCACATCTTCCTTCCAAGTCCGCCTCCTGAACTTCCATACAGATCTGAGTACCTCCAGATTGAAACATTCCTTAAAACAGCCTTTTCGCATTTAACGTGCAGCGACATGCCCGCTGTTTTTGCTTGGGTGCCGTGCACATGCCAGTGACTTTTAAACACATGAACTTATCTTTTGAGAATTATAATACAATACAGACTTTTTAAAATTAAATACAAATACGGGACTGCCCGGAAAAAAATGTTTCGAGTGCCCTCTAAGGCAATGCACCCGCAGTGATCCATGCAATTAAGAGTGATTGTGTTTCTTTAAACACTACACAAATAGGTAGCATACTGATAAGAAACCGTAGTATTTTTGACGTTAAACTGTTGCACAAAGGATTGTCATGAATGAACCCTCACGTGATCTTTGAGACTGTATTAAAACGAGGCTCTCCCAAACAGTGATCACCCTAAAGTTGTATTATTATTTCGTTGTTGTGGATTTGATTTTCTAAAAGCAGCCTGACCTCCCGCTGTCTTCATTTTAGGAGTTGTTATTAATTATGGATATGTTATGTATGTAATTCGGGAGATGCGTCTGCAAAAAGCAGGAAGTCGGCGGTTTATCACGGTGAGAGGAGACTTTCCGCAATGGCAGCCCTGTGGAAAGCCCTGGTCTTGGTGCTCCTGGAGGCTCTGCTGTGCCCTGCGGATGAAGTTACATTAAAGCCGAAACCTGCCCGCAAACCCGTCCGATTATTCACTGACGACGATCTACGAAGTTACAACGGCCTGAAGGTTAGGAATATAATGTAATTTTACTCGAGTCGAGCACCTTCACGTGTCAAAACTCGGAGCACAACGTAAGCTGTCAAACTCTCCATACGACAGTTTTATTTTTCCTCATTCTGTCCACATTAGGCGTTATAGGTGATAATTTAAAAATTAAATCGGCAGAAAAGCTGCTTCTCTACAGTGTAACTTAGTGTTACGCTTCTATGATCAGAGCCTCGAAGTCTGTGTGTTTTTGTTTACAATTAGGATGACCTGTTAATATAATAATACATCGGCGACGGGACGTGATCGATCGCTTTGCTAAAACTGTGTTGTGTTGTTCTGTGTAAATGTGATTTGTATAGTTGGTCTGTGTGAAATCCACCGTAGCTTAATCGTTTGTATTGCAGGAAGGGAAGCCGATCTACCTGGCAGTGAAAGGAGTGGTATTTGACGTAACTAAAGGGAAAGGTACGTGAATTAATAACTTTATATACAGTATATATACTCAGTAACAAAAAGAGTTAAGCATCCCTAAGTAATGGTCCGATTTGGATGTAATTTGGTATACGTGCAGACCAGCGATAAGTATATAAATGATTCGATTTGCGAGGAGTTGGGCCGTCTAGTCACCAGACAAAGGACGCCTCATAGACGCATTAGACAGCATCACCAGCACTTGACAGAGTTTGATAGGGGTCCCATTGTGGGTTTGCATGAGGCCGGGTGGTCGTACCGTGCAATTGGCCGGCATGTGGGGCATGCAGATGTCACAGTCGACTGATGTTGGAATCAATGGGCATGTGAGGGCACCCACACACGCTGTGAAGGTTCCGGTCGCCTAAGACAGACCACACCAAGGATGGATCGTTGTATTATGCGGCAAGCATTACAGAACCCCGTGACACCTGCACCTGCCATCCGGACACAGGCATTGGACTCTCTACATCACCCCATGCCATCCCGCACCGTGTCTCCACGACTGGCATCAGCCGGACTAAGGGTTCACCGCCCCATGCTTAGGCTGCCTTTAACAACAGTGAAGAGACGGTTGTGTTTGCGGTGGTGCCGTAACCGGGAGGCATGGACTGATGACGAGTGGCGTTGTACTATGTTCTGCGATGAATCTCGGTTCTGCATTACCACGGTTGACCGTCATGTGTGTGTATGGCGACGCCAAGGGGAGAGGACCAATCCTGACAATGTTGTGGAGAGACACACTGGCGTTACTCCTGGCATTATGATGTGGGGAGCCATAGGGCATGACATCATGGTGTGGGGAGCCGTAGGGTATGACATCATGGTGTGGGGAGCCGTAGGGTATGACATCATGGTGTGGGGAGCTGTAGGGTATGACATCATGGTGTGGGGACCAGCAGTGTGCCCATACTGCCAACTCTGTTTGATCTGATATTATAGTCATTGCAATACAGTCACATGACCTTTGCATCACATGCAGATTCATTTCATTTCCACCACTCTGTCTTGATGCTTCAACTTTTTTGTCACTGAGTGTATTTATGTGTTTAAGATTTGCTTTCTTTAAAAAAAAATCATTTATATAAATTCTGGATTATTTTCATTATTTACATGGATTTGGGCCCCCTTATGGCATATCATATAGGGCCCCCAACCCAGACAATGTTGTTATGTTCCAAATATTTTAGGTTCTTCGCTTTACCCCGTTTCGACTCCCCTGGTTGGTTAATATATCAAACCAGCCCCCTTTGTGTTATATAGTTCATACAAATTTTGAATAACATAAAGAGTATTAATTCTGTTATTTGAAAAATATTTAAGTTCACTGTGGATAGGCCTAAGGGTGTGCCTTTTCCGTAAGAGTGCGGACTGTCTTTAAAAATCGCCGCTGTTGGCGAAACATTACATTTCCTTTATTTGCAGAGTTTTATGGGAGAGGTGCACCATACAATGCCTTGGCAGGGAAGGACTGCACGAAAGCTGTCGCGAAAATGTCTCTGGACCCTGAAGACTTAACGCATGACACTGTAAGTAGAGGCACCTAACTGCCAAACTAGCTGACGGCATGTTGTATGTTTGTATGCACTCTGCTTTTGAACACTCCGCTTGCAGGGTCTGTGTTTTTTGTTTACGTAAATCCTGTTTGAAGTAGATTTTCACGACCGTTTTCTCCCACAGTCCAAAAGCCTGCAGTTAGGCTAGTTTGTGCTTCTGATTTGCTTCCAGTGTTTGTGTGAATGTACTTTACAGTGCACTGCCATGAAGCTGTGCGCCTGCCTTTGAAATGAAATGATCCTTCATTTCCAGTTAAGCACTGGAACCTTCCTGTCACAAACACAGAGGCTTAACCCGCTAAGCCCTGCTACCCTGTGCTGCTAAAATCTGGCTTCAGGACCCCGTCCAGAATAAGCGTTTAGAAGATTGATGGATGGATGACAGTCTGTATGCTATGGACATAAGCTTGCCTAGAATGTAGCCTTGTGTGTCCAATTAGATCATATAAACTATCAGGAGGGTGGTTGGGAGACTTTGGTTAGGTTAGGGCACAGGATTCAACCTGAAGGCTGATAGCTCCAGTGTCAGGAGTGGCTGCACCTCCTATAGCCTGAATTGTGAGGTAACTTTGGAACATATATTTTTTTTGTACCTGGCAGACCGGATTAGCTGAGGAAGAGCTGCAGTCACTGGACAGCATATTCAAAGACACCTACAAAGCGAAATACCCAATCGTGGGCTACACAGCCAGGCGGATCCTGAACGAGGACGGCAGCCCCAACAAACACTTTCAGCCTGAAGATCAGCCCAATTTCAGCATCAAGGACGAGTTTTAAAAAGTCAGTTCCATCTGGAACTAAAAGGGAAAAAAAACACATTTATACATCAATCATGCAAATATTTGGTACCATTTACAACAGTGTGGCAGTCTCTCATATTTTTAATGTGTTCTTCATGGAGTTAAAATGCCTTCACATAATTAGGTATTAAGTGTTTCAGTCCATGTAATGTAGTTAACATGGTCCTATTTGTGACTGAACCTCCAGACATTTCCTTAGAGGGTAAAAGTTTAAACTCACATTGCCTTTAAGTCTATTTGCCCTGTTTCATTTTGTGAAAGTAGAGCGTGAATCCAATGCCAGATCATTACCTCAAACGGTAACCTGGTTTAAACCTGGAATTAAGACCAGTGATGTGCTTTTCGTTTATCAATCTGATCTCCACCAGTGTTCCAACTGCTGGTACCGGAACATGTCACAGATTGGCGGCTTCAGGGTATGTTGTCATTTCATTTATCAGGTGTATTTATGAAGGAGGTCACATCTTTGGATCAGTGGAGGGTGTGCTCGTCATATTTGATGGGAAACTCATTGTGATGTCCGGTGTAAATGGGATCCAAATTGCTGCGCTTCCCCGTTCGGTCCTTGGGGACCCGCAGACAGTCCAGAAATGTGGACAGTCTGGCAGGGAGCTGGGAGGGAGCAAGAACATGGACCGTCTGTGGGACCCCGACGACTAGGTTGGGAAACGCTGCAAATTGGATTTCCATCTCAGCTGAGTAAGTGAATCTGAGACACGGTTGTTTAAAGGAAATATTTTTCCATTCATCTTGCGGTATAATGCACACCTCTGAGATGTAGTTTCCAACTACAGACTGTAATTAGTTTTTTTTTTTCTTCTACCTAATTTTATAGCATTTGTGAAGTGTCTGATATCTGATTGCTATGGTACAAAATATGTTTACTGTATTTTAGTACACTACAATTCTGTGATTTGTTTTGGGTGATATGCTTGAGATGAAAATTCTAGACTTTGACATAATTGATGCATTATTGTTACTAAGTTAATTACGAATAAATATGAATAGATGCATCCTCGTGCTACCTTTGTTATCCATTGTCTCTGGTTAGTGGTAGTACACTATAAAGCAGGGGTCTCCAACTCCGGTCCTGCAGAGCTACTATCCAGTAGGTTTTCTGTCCCACTTGGCTTCTGATGAGCCACACCTGCTCCTGGTATTTACCTGCGAACAGGTGTGGCTCATCAGAAGCCAGGTATGATAGAAAACGTACTGGATGGTAGCTCTCCAGGACCGGAGTTGGAAACACCTGCTATAAAGCATGCTCTAGAACAGGGGTGGCCAATCTTATCCGCAAAGGACCCCTGTGTGTGCGGGTTTTCGCTGCAACTCCCTAATTAGATTACTAATTAGAGGACTGATTGGCTGGGTTTGAACAGCTGACCTACAGGTTATCCCAAAAACCTGCATACACACCGGCCCTTTGCGGGTAAGATTGGCCACCCCTGCTCTAGAATGACAACAGAGCCATTTAACATGGGGATTGGAGCAAGATATTGAGATTTTATTTGGGGAAGGTAATGAAAACTGATCTAGTGATGGTGGGTAGGAACAAGAAAAAGGTGTCCATTATGGTATGAGGATGCATTAAGGTCTGAGCGTATATACTTGGGAAGAAAAAAATGCTGATCGTAAATGAGAAACACTGATTATTCACAAGCACAAGGGCAGTATCACTGCTCTTCCTCGCTACCCAGAATTCTTCCGTGCAAACAGTTATGCTTATTTATTTATTTTTTCCTAGCCAAACAAAGCTTCTTGGATGTCTCTCAGAACATTTTGGCTATAGAAATCTCCTCTCTGTTATGCACTTTCAAAAACACAGACCGTGACGATAAACAACCTTTTTTTTTTTTTATCTCTTTTCTGTGGGAGGTTGAAACAAATCTACATAAACTGAAGGATGAAGAATGCATTTAACGAGCATCTTTTATTTTTGTTTATTCAATTATTCTGACTCAAAAGATGAAATTATAACAGATGTCACATAGAAGCAGTCCTCATGTTATGCTGCCAAGCATGCATATGACTAAAAATAAATGGATCTTGATGCTTGATCTTTTTTTGGGCTTTAACAAATAAGTTACCATTTGCAGTATAATTTGAGTCACAAATCTCACTTTCTGTCATATCTTTTTTTTAATCACGGTGGTCTCTGACTTACACCCGCACTGCTACATGCAGAAGATCACTCATGATTTTCTCACAGTTCTGCTCTTTTCTGGGTAATGTGCATTTTTGATATTAATAATGTATGAAACTGACTCTTGAGTATGTTTTTTTAACTTTAAATTCTCAGTGAGTGATGGGGATGGCAGCTTGTGGGTGACCTTAATTCTGTAGAAGAACTCTTTATAACTGTTTATTTCATCAAGTGAGTCATGTAGTGGGGATTTTTGCTGAATTGTCCGGCCGCTGTCAAAAATCAATGTTTTTGAAATTATTATTTGCATATTTGTAAAAAAAATTTCCACTTCATTGTACTGTAAATATTTCTAAGGAGTTAGAATAAAGGACAGGACCTGGAAATGTTCAGCTTCGATTTTAAGAATAACACAGTTTTTCTGTCGGATGTCACATGCTTTTTGGCTCTTTTGTGTGTTTCGAGGCCAGTGTGCTACTTAGTGAGTTACAGCTTTGCCTGTGATCAGTAGTTTGCTGGTTCGAATCCCAGGCCTGACAGACCAATGCCATGGTTGGAGTCCTGAGCAAGGCCCTTTACCCCCCAGCTCTTGGGGGCGCTGCATGCGGGCTGACCTTGTCCTGTGACCCCCAAGCTTCCACTTAATTGTGTCTCATGGAGAGCTAGATGGGGGAAGGCGAAAAGGGAATTTCCCGATGAGGATCAGTAATGTATCACTATTCTATTCTGTTGTCGCTTTAATTGAATGATGTGGATTTCACCTGACTAAGGATAAGCTGTCCAGGTGTCCGGAAAGATTAAAACTGGATTTCAGTGGCTAATAGACATCAATCAAAATTGCTCACCATGTGTCCATTGCACAAAAAAGCAAATTTTACTCCTTTAGAATGCGTGCATCTGAATCAGTTGACAGTAAGAAGCTGACTGACTTTCTATTATTTAGTTTGATTTTATGTTCTGCAGTACTGTTGACATACTGTTGATACTGGAAATACCGTAGGTGGCATTTTATGGCATTTAATGGTTTCATCATTTGAATGTCAGACATTACAGTCCTGTGACCTCCACCTCAGCCACTTAGCCCCCCCCCCCGCCTCCCCAACGTGTTGAGTAGGAAGTCTTCAGTTCCTGAACTGACATGTACAGCGCGTCGTTGAGAGTATAGCTGTGACGTCGTACCACCTGTGTTTATGGAGAACCTGTGGTTTAATGTGCCATTGCCGTAATACGACAAACTGCGACGAGGCCTGATGATGTCACTAGACCTCTGAGTCTTCTCTGCACTACACCAGGCACATCATATAGGTTGGGTTTTTTGTTTTTGTCTTTCAACATTTGTGTAACTCGTGCATATTCAGAGTCAGAGGCTAAATAAAAACTCAAAAAAAAAATATATGTATATTTTTTTTTATTATTTCTGTAAGCAAACCCCATAGAAGACAAAATAAAGGGACGAGATGAGAGAAGAACAGAATCAGATCTTTATTGACCAAGTATGTTAAAGATACATGTTAAAGTATGTGTACTGGGTAAGAAGGTCCAGCTCTGATCTTGCCTGATAAAGTAAACATGCATTATTCATCAGTGGTCATTTGCAGCAAGCATCCATCCATCCATCCTCTGTAACCACTTGTCCTGTTCAGTGTTGCAGGGGGTCCAGAACCTATGACCACAAGGCAGGGAACAACCCAGGATGGGGCACTAACCCATCACACTCAATTCATAGCTATGGGCAGTTTGGTAACTCCAATTAACATCAACATGCTTTTGGATTGTGGGAGGGGAACCAGCAAACCCAGCGGACCAAACCCCACGGTGGGGCATGGAGCCGTGGCCGAGCCTCGAACCCTGGTACTGAAGGTGTCAGGCAGCACTGCCAGCTACCGCGCCCCTGTTGCAAGTATAGATGTTGTTTTTCTTGTTCCAAAAACACTTGCTCACTCTGTTTTCCCACTTGCTGAAAAAAATACTCGTTAAGAGCTACACAATGTTAGCCAAGATTAATCTTTTTGGTGTTTACCAATTTTTCCATGTACGAGGCCGAAGAACAAGCACAGATTAGAACAATAATAAAATACCCAAAGTTAGTTTTCTTTAAAAAGCACCGTTCCAACCATACCCTCTAAAGAAAAAGCACCTCTCTGCGTAGACTGGCACGTCACGCTTTCGTTTCCACAACGATCCATCCGCCGCTCTTTAAGGTAAGTGGAAGTGTGTGGTGCTTTCAGTCCGTGATGCTGCTTCCTCTGCCCATTACCAGCGGAGAGCTTCCTGCGTATATAAAGCACATGTGGGTGTACACAAGCGAGCACACTGCTTCTGCCTTCGCTGGGGTCGATAACTCACACCATGCTGCTAATTTGCCTGTAGCCCATGTGAAGGCAAAGGGAAGCTGGTGAGATACTATCACAGGTAAGTCTCATTCTCGTGATTAATTATATTCCGATTGTCTGCACAGGCCTGTTAATTTCAGATTATGTAGTGGGAAAGTATTAAGAAGAAGATACCTTTATTGTCACTGTTACAGATACAATGGAATATTGTTTAGAGCAGAGCAAGGCTGTAGACTGTACATATATGTGTGTGTGTGTGTGTATATATATATATATATATATATATATATATATACTGTATACATATATAGAGAAAGAGTAGTACTTATAGGTTATTGTGGTTCTGTGCTTAAAGATGTTTTGGTAACTTTGATATGCACTGGGGTAATTTCAAATTTATGGAAGTATATGGATTTACTTGTGACGTTTTTTAAATATATATTTTAATAACCTTTAAACAATTCTGGATGAGTAATACAAGTCGGATCAGCAGCACATTTATAATTACAGTCGTATACAGACATGCAGTTGTAGGGTTCGTGAGGTGTATCCATCTGCATAATAGTTTCATGTTTGCTTATTGTGAGAGTTGACTTACAGTCAAAACAGTTATTTTTGTTTGAGCTGATTCAAACAGAGACTGACGCCCCCAGCGTGGCATGCACACGCCGATTCCCACTGCGTGTTTTATGTACAGCTGCCTCGATTCCCACTGCGTGTTTTATGTACAGCTGCCTCGATTCCCACTGCGTGTTTTATATACAGCTGCCTAGCTGAGAGTTAGGGTTAGGTTAGGGTTAGGGTTAGGGTTTTTGCTCCTGAACATGAAGCCTTTATGTATCCATAGAGGCAGACGCGTCTCTAGCCCAAATCAGATTAAGCACTTTGCTCAATGGTACAACAGCAGGACCCCTTCAGGCTAGTGAGTTGAGAGCCTTTAGGTTATGAGGGCTGGGTTGGATTTCTGAACATTATCTGTTATCTCTGTGCGTACCATAACTGACGGAATACCTCTACTAGCATACACCAGTCCATGTTCCTCAAATGCTCTTAGTGTTGCACTTTCTGCTGATTTGAATAGTTGTCTCTTTAATTTCTTGCCTTTTTTGGGAAGATGCTATCAGTTATTTTAAGTCCTTTTGCAGGACTGCTTACTCTTGTATCTGGGCATTCATTAGAAGCTCAGCCTAGCTACAGTTATGCCTATGGACTCCTTGACAGCCATGTTTGTAAAGTGATATTTGCCTCATTTGTATTTAATTTTGGAAAAAAGCATCTTGCCATACAAAATAAATGTAAATATAAATACAAAATATGGTACGTGCACCTGTCATGGTGAAGTACGGGTTGTGGAACTGGATAACTTAAGGTGGTTTTCTCACTTCACTTTAGTGAAAGAGACGACAGAACAGAATTTCCCCGTCATCACCAAGTGTACTAATGAAAGTGCTGGTTGGTTACACAGTGGTAAGTTCCTTGCACCCCAACTCGCTGCTCACAGTGTGTCTTTCATTCCTGTGATGTTTAGTAATGCATT